TTTAAAATGAGATGTTTATCTTGTATTTGATTATGTTTATCTGCAGTTAGTTACACGAATTCAGATATGGAGCTTTAATAAGTTGTACTTACGCACAATGTACTTGTAATCTTGAGTTTTAAGCAATATGCATTAATAAACAGTTGTCAAATGCTTTATAATATAGTATAGATAATGAGTATGGCAACAACGATATAAATATCTTAACCAAGAATAAGAAGCTACATAAAGCAAGAATATGAGTTATAACAAAACCGTAATGTCAAACATGAATGATGAATTATTTTTGCAAAAAAAAAAATATCCCAAAACCGCACTCAAATAAGCATCAGCTATTCTCCTAAAATTCCACATTCCTTTACTGACCATAATAGAATACCAACACGAATTACATAAAATAATAATACGTCTTCATTTAATTTACAGTGAATTTTGAAACAACACGAGTAGCATAAAAACACACTTGAATTGACAAGTATTGTGTTATTTGTTTGTAGTCAGGGGAAACCGTTGATCGTAAATCCTCCATCAACAGCAATCGTTTGACCAATGATGTAAGAAGCAGCTGGCAGGCAAAGAAAGGCCACCAAAGACGAAACTTCATTGGCTTCTCCAAAACGTTTCATAGGAGTTCTAGATTCCACATCACTCGTAAACTTCTTTTCTTCCAAAACCTCCATACTTATAAGCTGAACGTTTCCCACCAACATAATCGAGCTCAAATTAGAACAAGGGAACTTCAAATTATAATTAACAGTAGAAAAAATTAAGGGAAAGATGATTACTTGTTCAATAAGAGAGGTCTTAACGAACCATGGTGCTACGGAATTAGTTCGAATCTTGTCTCCAGCCCATTCGCATGCTAAATTCTTTGTAAGTTGATTTATTGCACCTTTTGTGATACTGTAGGTCGACCCAACACTAGCATGAACAAGACCAGCAACTGAAGAAATGAACACAATGTTTCCAACTCCAGAAGCCTTCAAAAAAGGATGTGCAAGTTGAGAAATATGGAAACCAGATTCCAAATTGGTAGCCATGATCATCGAATAGTCTTCAGCAGTATACTCTGTTGTAGGTTTTGGGTAGTTCATCCCAACATTGTTTATCTACAAGAAATAATGTATGTTGTGGAAATAAGTGCAAAGGAGAGTGTTGGAAGCCTGTAAAATTATTTTAAAATAAAGTGTCGTATTAGCTATTTTATTGCATACTTTTGATAAGTACTCTATGAACACATCTCTTTAGAGGATATTTAATGAATTTTTTTTTCAAATAATGTCATATAAAAAATTAGTATAAGTTTTATTTTACAAGTGTTATAAAAACTTATTAAGACATCCAAAAGCGTTTTATAATTTTATTGCAACACTTCTACATAGGTCATACAATTTTTTGGTCATATAGAGTAGTCTACTATAACATTTAGACATTTTTTACTATCTATAAACCTGATTTTTTTGTAGCGTATCAGGTAAGTAAGGGTAGCGACTCTTACCCGGTTAGCGATTATTGAGTAAAAGACGTTATATTATGTCATTTTAAAGACCAAAAATCTTACCCGGTAAGATAATTGAGGATGGTGACACTTACCCGATAAACACTTATCCAGTAGGTGTTTATAATAAAACGGCCTCTAAGGGGCCGTTTACAAAATGCTTGTCATGTGAGTATGGCAAGGACCGAAAATCTTACCGATAAGTGCGTGAGGTGACTCTTACTTGTTAGCGGTTACCCGGTAAGAGGGAATTGCAAATAATCCATAAGTGAGGCTGTGATGGTTGTGATTCTTGTCGGTAAGCACTTATATGGTAAGCATTTGATAAAAAGTCTTAAGTCACAAACAAAGAACTTACTAGGATGTTGAGCTTGCCACTGAAAAGTGAGGAGACTTTTTCCATAAGTTGTTCACGTTGGGGACGAGAAGCTACGTCACAGACAGATCCGGTGACGATGAAACCCTTGACAGACCATTCTTGTAACCGTTGATTAAGTTCAGACTCGTTCCGGGAGCAAGTGTGCACCACCGCCCCTAACTCCGCCAGTTCTTCCACCACAGCATAGCCGATTCCACGTGTACCACCTGTGACTAGAGCAGTCATTCCGACTAGAGACCATCTTGTCAGAGACATGCCAGCAAAGCTTTCTGGTACGACGATAGTCATGATCAAAGTATGTTGGATGGCTTATTTTGCAATATATTTCACTAGTGCCTAAAACTGAAGCATTATCCTCCCTCTTTTTATATATATATTGACCAACTTGTTTGACATAGAAATTTATATTAAAGTTTTAAACAATTTTTTTATCAATAACAAAAAGTCAGCATCACAATTATTTTTCTCTATTGAATAGCAATAAAAGATGAAAGCGACGTTTATCGGTCAAAATAATCAAATTTCTTAATGATATCCGAAAAAAATACTTTTGATTATGTGTTGTAAACTACTTATAAGCTAGCCGATAACCAATACAATAGTTAATATATGATGACTAATTACGTTTGGTAAAAAGTAACTGATAAGTTAATTAAAAATTGTCAAAAAAAAGGATGCTAAAAAATTAATCAATTTTAACATTTCATGATATACTTAAAATTAAATACTAATAAATAGTAATATAATATGCTAATTAATACAAAGTAGAACATTTAATTTCATCCATTGAAGATGGTATGATCAAAGATTTGACATATTAGTTGTCCTCAATGGGTCGGTGATATTGGAAAAGTTCTCAAAGTTTTTGACCAAGTCGTCTAATATATATTTGAGATCATGTGAGACCAAGGGTTTTTCGTGAGACCCGTAAGATTAATTTTCAACCATTGGATTTATATCTATAATATGAACATTCATAATCACAAAATTGTCACGAGAATTCTCAATAATCACAAAATTGTCACGAGAATTCTCAATAATCACAAAATTGTCACGAGAATTCTTAATAATCACAAAATTGTCACCGTTCAACTTTAGACCATTAAATCATTAGTTTATAAAGTTGATCAATGAATATAAATTGGTCTTACGGGTCTTACGGAAAACTTTTGGTCTCACATCAACCCAACCATATATATATATATATATATATGTATATATATGTATATGTATATGTATATGTATGTGTATATGTATGTGTATGTGTATGTGTATGTGTATGTGTATGTGTATGTTGTGTACGAATTTTGGATCTTGACTTTTGCAGTTTTTATAGGTTAGAGCATTACCTAACACTTGTGTAATAATTTTTTATAATAAAATATTGAAAACTAAAAACTCTAAAATTATACATCTAACTTAACAACTATTTATAAAACCATTCAGTATATTTAATAAAATATTATTTTTCTTTTTTAATACTTCTTACTGGTTAGAAAGAATTAAAATAATCTCTCTTTTTTCTATAAAGTTTTAGAGATTTCTTTAAATTTTAAGTTTTTCATCTACTTTAACATATCATTTTGCATAGCTATTGAATCAAAAAAAATTGCCAAATCTTTAAAATATTCTATTTTAACATAGTTGTTGGAGATGTTAGAGCTTTGGTTTTTTATTTTCTTGGGTTCAAAATTCAGATTTGTGGTTTACATTTGGAAAGTGGTAATGTTTTTTTAAAGAAAAATATATAATGTTTATATACCACAAATACATTCACATACCCTCTTTAATTTTGGAGAGGTTTGAATCCCGTACATCCCCACAGATTGGTTTTCACCAGTAACACAAATATTATTAGATTAAAAACCCTTTGGTTGCCACCACCACGATCGTAGTGGTTGAACAAAACTTAGACTTTAAACTCAAAATAGAGTTCAGGTAATATATGAAAATGTACAAGTTTTATGTCGAAATGTAGCTAATAATCTATGCAAGTTTTTGTAAAAAAAAATAATGAACATAATGAGTTAGAAATGAGCAAATTGCAGTTTGAAATGAAGAGGGTCGCAAGTCGCAACCTAGGAACGTATAAGCATAATTTTTTTATACAACGATACTTTAATACAAAAGTCGTGAAATCATATAAATTTATAGTAGTTGTTCATACGTATACAAAAAATGAGTTAACACTACAATAAAGTCAGTTTATAAGACACAAATATATTTAAGCATGCAAATAACTGTTTTTTAGAATTTAATTTTATAAGACGAATAAATTGTGTGTCACATATAGAAGCATGATAGTAACTTTATAAGACGGTGGATCGTTTAACTAACTTTTTTGGGACATTTTGAAATAAAGTGTCTTATTAAAAAATTCATATGATATTTTTTGAAAAAAGAATGCCTTATAACAAGTTTTCTCAAACTACAAGGGTAGTGCCTGATTGGTTTGAGTTTGGCTCCAAAGGTCAAAAGTACTTGGAGGTCACAGGTTCAAATCTAAGGAGGAATAAAAATCTCCTTGTGGCCACAGAGATTCAAATGCTGTGACACCGGACTATATGCAAAGCAGGTGGTCGCCCTGGGATTAGTCGGCTCGCATAGCGGGTTAGATATCCATGTTAATAAAAAAAATACATTTCTCAAATGTGTCATGCAAAAAATCTAATAAGACATTTTTATTTTTAAAGTGTGCTAAAACACTTGTTAGAATGTCCAAAAGTGTACTATAAACTTATTGCAACACTTTTACATAGGACATACAATTGTTTGGTCTCACAAACCTAAGTCTCATATAGCAGTTGAAGCCTTTTAAGGGACCGTTTATCAAACACTTACTCGATAAACGCTTATCGGTAAAATTTAAGACTATCATTTCCTTACCGGGTTAGATTTTAGTCCATCAAAACGGTATTGTGTGCAAAAATTTACCCGGTAAGTGCTTACCATGGTAAGAGTTGTCGCCATCACTTACCGGGTAAGACTCTTTGTCCTTGTCTCGCTCTTACCAGGTAAGATTATTGGTCCTAACTATATTCATCCGGTAAGGTAATGTGTCTTGATATTCACTTACCCGAGTAAGTGTTTGGTAAACGGCCCCTAAGTCAAGTTTTGGTGGTGCAATCATGGTTATACTCCAAAGTCGTAAGCCTGATAGTGTGGTTCGTATCAGTGTCACGCAAGAGCAAGGCATCAATGTCATGCCGAGCCTTGTAAGAGTTGGCGAAACAAGAATATGATCACTTTAATGTTGTACAAAGTTAGTGAACATGTTCATTATTTAACATATCCTACGATATCTATACTATCTTATAAAGCATTTGCCTAAACTCTTAAAAACTCTTAAAACTCTTAAAACTTATAAAAACTCTTAAACTCGTTCATCCCTAAACGATTTCATCTCTATCCGAATTCGTGTAACTAACTGCAGATAATAAAACCAATATTTACTTAAAATTCAAGATTACAAGTAAATTATGCAAAAGTACAGCTTATCAAAACTCGATTTTTGAATTCGTATAATTAACTGCGGATAAACATAATCAAATAGATGATAAACATCTTATTTTAAAATATAAAAAATCTAATTAGGATAATTATCGAGTTCCAACGAAATAATTAATTATTATTTTTATAAAAAAATTATATTATTAAACCAAATATAAATTACTTCGTTATTGTACCTAAATTAAATTATAATAAAAAAATTGAATTAAAAAATTACACAAAAAATGAGGAATTTTTAAATAGTTAATTTGATACGAATATCGATATATTTTTGTTATGCATAAAGTATTGTATATTGATGCATATTACTTAAAATTCAAGATTACAAGTAATTATGCATGAGTACAACTTATTAAAGCTCGACGTTTGAATTCGTATAAATAACTGCGGATAAACATAATCAAATAAATGATGAGCATCTCATTTTAAAATATAATTAGAATTATCGAGTTCTAACAAAATAAATAATTATTATCGTTATAAAAAATTATATTATTAAACCAAATATAAATTACTTCGTTATTGTACATAAATTAAATTATAAAAAAATTAAATTAAAAAATTACACAAAAAAATGAGGAATTTCAAACTAATATCGATATATTTTTGTCA